TGACTATCAGGGGAACACTGTCAGATATGGTACCAGAAGATGAAAACCTCATGACTAGGAGCAGAATATTACCAGATCAAGTGCCAAAAAATGTGACACTCAGGTTTGAAGACACTCAAAATACAACTGGGGCAGGAGGAGCTGCCTCCTCAAAGAAGAGTTGACCGTGATGACACAAAAGGAGCAAAGCTTTCAGGACCTTTATTTGCTGATGGGGCACAATGAAAAATGAGGGGAAACAGCTGCATATATCCATTAATAACCAGAACACGGAATGCTTGAAGCATGAATCTAGTTGTTAAAAATGAAATGGAATGCATAAAGATCAATATCCTAGGCATTAGTGAGCTGGAATAGAATGATATTGGCCATTTTGAATCTGACAGTCGTATGTTCACTATTCTGGGAACAAAAAATTTCAAGAGGAATGGAGCCACATTCATTGTCAAACAGAACATTTCAAGATCTATCTTGAAGTACAATGTTGTTTGTGATAGGATAATATTCATATACCTATATCACTATTATTCAAATTTACACAGCAATCACTATAGCTAGTGATGAATTGAAAAATTCTAACAACTCCAGTCTAAAATTGATCAAACATGTATTGATAATTACTGGTGATTGGAGTGCAAAGATTGGAAACAAAAAGGAAGCATAAACAGTTGGAAAATATGCCTTGGCAGAATTTTGCAAATGATTTTTTAAAAAATATCATAAAAGGCAAATATACACATGAATCTACCAGATGAAATACACAGGAATCAAACTGACTATAGCTGTAGAACGAGAAGGTGGAAAAGTTCAATATCATCAGTCAAAACAAGGCTGGGGTAGACTATGGAACAGACCATCAATTGGTCTGGCAAGGTCAGGCTGAAGCTGGAGAAAATTAAAACAACTTCATGAGAGCTTGAACATATCTTAGCTGAATTTAGAGACCATATCAAGAACAGATTTGATACATTAGACACTAATGACTAAAGACCAGAAGACTTGTAGGATGACATCAAAAACATCATACAGAGAAAAAAAAGACATATCATGATTAAAGGTTCAATTGAACAAGCAGACATAACCATAATAAATATCTATGCTACCAATGAAAGAACCTCAAGATACATAAATCAAACCCTAATAGAACTGAAAAAAAGAAATCAACAACTCAACAATAATAGTGGGAGTCCTGGTGCAGCACTGTGGATTAATGCACTGGACCACAAGGCCGGTTTGAACTGCAAGGCTGGTGGTTCAAGCTCACCAGTCACTTCGTGGAAACTGTATACAGGGTCACTATGAGTTGGAAATGACTTTACTTGAAGGCACTTAACAACAAAACAATAATGGTGGGAGATTTTAATGTACCACTTTCGAAAAAGGACAGAACAACCAAAAAGAAACTCAACAAAGACACAGAGGAACTAAACTACACAATCAATCAACCTGACCTCATAGACTTGTACAGAGCATTCAACCCAACAACAGCACAAAATACATTTTTTTTCCAGTGCACATGGGACATTTTCCAGAACAGACCATGTGTTAAGACCACAAAGCAAGTCTCAACAAAGTGAAAAACATCAAAATATTACAAAGCATCTTCTCAGATCACAATGCTACGCAATTAGAAATCAACAACAGGAAGATCCAGGAAATAAAATCAAATACATGGAAACTGTATAACACCTTTCTTAAGAGCTACTGAATAATGTTACTGTTGTTAGGTGCTGTTGAGTTGATTCCGACCCATAGTGATCCTGTATAGGGTTTCCAAGGAGCAGTTGGTGAGCTTGAACCACCGACCTTGCAGTTCAAATGACTTTGCAGTCTGGCGCATTAGCCCACAGCACCATACCAGGATTCCAGTGCATAATAGAACAAGTTAAAAATTCCTAAGAACAAATGAGGATGAAAACACAACATACCGAAACCTTTGGAACTTCCGCAGCAAAACCAGTGTTGAGAGGGCAAGTCATAGCAATAAACACACACATCCAAAAAGAAGAAAGAGCCAAAATCAAAACATTAACAAAACATTTCTAATAATTAGAAAAAGATGAGCAAAGTAAACCTACCATCACTAGAAGAAAAGAAATTACCAAAGTTTAGAGCAGAAATAAATAGAAAACAGAAAAACAATGGAAAGAATCACAAGTCAAGAAGCTGTTTTTTTTTTTAAATAAAGGACTAGTAAAACCAACATATAGCTGGCAAAACTAACAAAAGAAAAGAGGGAGAAGATACAACTAACCTGCATAAGAAACTGTATGGCTAACTTCACAATAGAAATAAAAAGTATAATAACAGAATACTATGAAGAGTTGTACTCCAATAAATTTGAAAATCTAGAGGAAATGGATACATTTTTAGAAAAATATGGCCTACCTAAACTAACAGAGTTAAGTAGAAAACTTGAAAGACCTATAACAAAAGAAGAAATTGATCAGGTAATACAGAACTCCCAACCAAAATCATCAGATGGCTTTACTGGTGAATTTTATCAAATATTAAGAGACAAGTTGATGTTAATCGTATTCAAACTATTCCAGAATACAGAAATGGATGGAAAACGTCTGAATACATTTTATGAAGCGAGCATAACCCTCATAACCAATATCAGGCAAGAGCATCACTAAAAAGGAAAATTATAGATGAAAATCCCTCATGAACATAGATGCAAAAATTCTCAATGAAATTGTAGCCAATAGTATTCAACAACATCAAAAATTATATGTCATGACCAATAGGGATTTATTCCAGGGATGCAAGGATGGTTCAATATCAGAAAAACAATCAACAAAATTCAAACAAGGAGAGAACAACATTATCATATCAATTGATGCAGAAAAGGCATTTGACAAAATTCAACATCCATTCTTGGTAAAAACACTCAACAAAGTAGGAATTGAAGGGAAATTCTTCAACATAATTAAGAGCATATATACAAATCCCAGACAGAATTATTCTCAGTGGAGAAACACTGAAAGCATTCACTTTCTGAACAGAACCTAGACAAGGATGTCCTTTCTTACCACTCCTACTCAATACAGTGTTGGAAGTCTTAGCCAGAGATATAAGGCAAGATAGGGAAATTAAAGGCATCCAAATAAGAAAAGAAGACATAAAACTCTATTTGCAGATGATTTGACCTTATACATAAAAAATCCCATAGACTTAGCAAGAAAATAATTGGAACTCATTGAAGAATTCAGCAAAGTGGCAGGGTAGAGGATCAATATACAAAAATCAGTTGGATACCTCTATACTAATAAAGAAAGCTCTGAAAAGAAAATTAGGAAAACAATACCATTCATAATAGTCACCTAAAAGATGAAATACATAGGAATAAATCTAATTAAAGAAACTAAAGATGTATACAAAGAAAACTACAAAACACTATTACAAGAAACCTAAAGAGACTTACAAATATGGGTGACTATATCATGCTCATTGATAGGAACACTTAACAAATATTATGAAAATTTCAACACTACCCAAAGCAGTCTATAAATATAATGCAATCTCAATCCAGATTCTGACACCATTCTTTAAAGAGATGGAAAAATGATCATGAATTTTATACGGAGATGAAAGCGATCTCAGATAAATAAGCAAAGCACTGCTAAACAAGAAGAACAAAATATGAGGCCTCTCATTTCCTGATTTCAAAAATTACTACACAGTCACAATGGTCAGAACAGCCTGGCATTAGTACAAAAAAGATACATAAATCAATGGAACAACAGAATTGAGAACCCAGAAGTAAATCCATCCACATACAGTCAATTGACCTTTGGCAAAGGGCCAAACACATTAAATGGGGAAGAGACAGTCTCTTCAACAAATGGTGCTGGCAAAACTGAAAATCAATTTGCAGAAGAATGAAACAAGACCCATATCTCATACCATATACAAACATGAACTCAGCATGGATTTAAGACCTAAGTGTAAAACCCAGAACTATGAAGATCATCAGTGAAAAACTAGGGACAAACTCAGGTGCTTTAATACATGGCAATATATACTGTCAAACATAAAAAACACACAAGCAGTAGAAGACAAAATAGGTGACTGGGATCTCCTAAAAATTAGAAACTTATGTGCATCAAAGTATTTCATTAAAAGACTAAAAAGGAGCCCACAGCGTGGGGAAAAAAAAAAATGTTTGTCATGACATATAAGACAAGGGAATTATATCTAAAATTTATAGAAAACTACATTACCTACACAAGAAAAAGGACAACCTAATTGAAAAATGGGCCAAGGACACGAACAGATGCTTCACCAAAGAACTCATTCAGGCAGCCAACAAACATATGAGGAAATATTCACAATCACCAGCCAGTAGAGACATGGCAAAACAAAACAACAATGAAGTATCATCTCACAACAGCATTAGCAGAGAAGCTTGGAAAAATAAGAAAAAAACAAATGCTGGCAAGGGTTTGGAGACACAGTGCCCCTCCTACGTTGTGGGCGGTTCTGTAAAATGGTTCAACTGCTCCGGAAACTGGCATGACACTTCCTCAGTAAATTGGCAATACAAATACCTTATGACACAGCAATCCTCCTACTTGGAATATATATATGCACAAGAAAAATAAGCCAGGACACAAGTAGATATACACACACCAATGATCATCACAGAACTAGTCACAACAGCATCATCAGTGGAAGAATGGATTGACTAAGGTTGGAATATATGCACAATGGAATAATACTATGCAATCTTGAAGAATAACAATGAATCTGCAAATCACCTCATTAACATGGATGAACCCTGAGGACCTTAGGCTCAGTGAAATTTAGTCAGTCACAAAAGGACTGATACTATAAGAGATCATTATTGTAAACATTTATGAAAAGGTTTCCGTACAAAAGAAACATGCTTTGATGGTTATCAGGGGTGGGAGGGAGAGGAGAGTAATTCACTGCCTGGAGGGTAGACACATGCTAGTTCGGGTGACAGGGAGGGCAATATACAAGGAGACACATACCTGGGACTCAGCATTGAAGGTGATGACCTCCTCATCCTGGTCCAACAGTTTGCAGGCATAAGCAATGTTTACAGCTGTTTCCTGTTTGTCACCGGTGAGAACCCAAATCTGTAGGCCAGCTTGGCGCAATTTTGCAATGGTCTCAGGGACTCCCTCTTGTAAGCGATCTTCAATCCCAGTGGCACCTGATTGAACGCATCAGGGAATAAGTGAGCCCCTAAGCCCCGCTGCTTTCCACGCTCCAGACTGTGGAGCGCTCCAGGCCAGGCCCAGCTTCCCAGCCCTATGTTCTATTTGTAAAGTGGCCACTCGACAGCATGATTCAGTATGCTAGGACATCAGTGAACACTGCAAACAGTGTGGCACAGTTCCTACAGCAAAGTACCTTGGATCACTCCTGACACCTTATTTGGGGGGTATGGGTTCAGTGGTAGAATTCTCACCTTGTAGGCAGGAGACCCACGTTTGATTCCTGGCCAATGCATCTATGCACAGATGCCACCCAGGTTTCAGCAGACCTTCCAGATCAAGATAGACTGAGAAGAAATGTTGGGTCATCTACTGAAAAAATTTGGCGAGTAAAAAACCTGTGGATCACAAAAGCCTGATCCACAACGGATCATAGGGATGCCACGGGATCAGGCAATATTTTGCTCCATTTTGCATGAGGTCATCCTGAGTCAGGGGCCACCATGTTACCAATCCATCCAGCTCAAAGAATTTGATAAGATAACATTAAAGCAAACGGAATCAATTGCATTCAGATGGCTATAAGCATTTTCAGAAATTTTCCATCAGACATAAATCTTCTGATGAATGAAATCCAAAATGTATATTCTCTATCATATGTGCCATGGGTATTACTACCTCTCTGAACACACTGCTACCAGACCAGACTACTGGTTCTTTAGAGCCATTCTGTTCTGAATAGGCTTCTCCCACAAACAGAACAGGTAAGAGGTAGATTTCTCCTTGTGTTGATCTCTAGAGGAAGAACTACAGATTCGAGCTCATGGTGCCTGCTTCTGTGATCCTGGCTGTTTAAAAGCCAGGGGAAATCAGCTGACTTCCTGGATTCAGAAGCCTCTGGTGACCCTCAGGCCCCTGGTTTTTAGTGTCCTCCTTATTAATTCTGCCTCTCTATGCCAGGCTGCCCCCTGTGCTGGGGTACCCTTTCTCCTTCTCCTTCTGGAACAAAACTGGAGGGAGAGGGTTTAACAGAGAGACGAGGCTTTCTGCTTCCATAAAGATTTACAGCTTCAGAAACCCTATGAATCAGAAATGACTCAATGGCACTTAATAACAACAACCGCCTTGATTAATTGCACTTTGCTGGCAAAAAATTTCACAAACTCCCTGTTACGGACAGAATTGTGTTCCCCACCACCCTACCAAATAAATGTGGAAGTCCTGACCCCCTATACCTGGGAGCATGGCGGTATTTGAAAACGAGGTCATTGAAGGTATTGACAGAAGTTAGCATTTGGTAATACTGAAATAGGATGGGTTCTAATCCAATCTGAGTGATGGCCTTATTAAAGAGGGGGCGAGACACAGAGACAAAGAGAGGGCAGAAAATCTGTGAAGATGCATCTACAAGCCAAGGAATGCCTGGGGCTACCAGAAACTAAGAGAGACAAGCAAAGATGTTCCACTAGAACTTTTAGAGAGAATATGGCCAATATTCTGACACGCAGCCTCAGGAAGTGAGAAATAATAAATGTCTGCTGTTCAAGACAGCCACTCTATAGGATTCTAACGTGGCAGTCCTAGAGCACTAACACACTACCTACGATGGTTGTTGTTGCTGTTGTTATGTGTTGTCCAGTTGGTTCTGACTCACAGCACCCTATAAAGGGTCCCTGAAAGCTGTACGTCTTTGCGGGCTCGGACTGCCAATCTGGTTCTCAGTCCTGTGCTGATTGTATAGAGCCCTCATGCTCCCACCTATGGTGGTAATGCTAAAATGATCCCAATTTTATAGATGTAGAAAGCAAACGTTAGGAAGGTGGCGTTAGTTAAGGAAGTGACAGTATTTGATGCTTAGAAGGTTTGAGTCCAAAGCTCATGCTCTAAATCTCTAAGTCATACTGTCTGCTGCCTCTATGAAAACTCCAGTGCTTATCTTTGAATAAAAATCAATTCCCTTCCCATTCACAAGAATGTGGTTCCCTGAAGAAAGGGCCTTCAGGCTAATTTAGCCTAGCACCTGGTAGATGTTGACCAAAAAAGGCAAGCAGGAAGGCTGACTGACCAACACAAAGGGCTCCGGTGTCCCTCTCCTGATCCTCACCCACAAAATGGTGTGAGGCTGAATCAAGCACAAGGTATTATCAAACTTAGAAACAGAGAAAAATGTTGTCCGTTTAAGGCTGATATACGATATGTCATAGATCAACAAATCTGATTCAACGGTACTTTCTTTAGCTTTCTGAGGTAGGTTGTTTGCAATACATCCTTTCTCTTCCCTTACCAACTATCTCATTACCCATCATTTTGCATGTATGACAATAAAAAATCAACTATGTTGCACATTAATGACATATGTCTGACAGCAGTGAAAACCAGGGTCTAAGGTTAATGCTGGCTGTGATGGTTGAGGTTATGTGTCAACTTGGTTGAGCCATGATTCTCAGTGGTGTGGGACTTAGGCAATGATGTAATTTGGCTCTTATGTAATGATGTAGTCAGCCTTCATTTTGTAATTGGATGTGGTCATCATTCATTTTTGAATAACAGAGATTTCGATTGTTGCATAATGACTTGGTCATTGGAACATAACCATTTTAATAAGTGAAGAGAGTGTATAATAAATGCTACTGTGAACAAGTTCCACCTCTTTTCAAGCTGATCCTTGGGAAAGTTGGGTTTTTGAGCATGATAATAAGGGTAGCTAACAGAGTTCAGAGTCAAGTTAAGTTCACGTGGATTCCTGTGTTGTGATGTCAGGAGGCTGTTAGTAGCAGGGAGTTTTCTATGACAATGGGAAAAATTATGAAGAATAATGGGAAAAGTAGATAGAATGTTGCCCTTTGAATTTAGGTTCTTGGCTAAGACATTATGGGAAAGAAAATTTCAAGCACCAAGAGTGAACGTTGGTCCTTTCTGCTTTAGATGTTTATTTGTGGTTCACTGAGGTTATTTAATATACATACCTAAGAGAAAATATTTAGAAGTGGACACTTGGCTCTGGAAGACAGGATTACAAATCTTACAGGCTTACTTTCTTTTTTCTCAAAAATGATGCTGAGGGTTCAAACATAAGGTCAGAACAGAACACAGAGCTAGGGGTCAAAGTCACTGAAACGTTCATTGTGAGGAAGCATAATGAAAGACTTACAGTTTTGTCTTCATAATTATAGTGGAAAGGAGAAGATATTTCCTCTGCATTGCCCTAGAAGGTGGGGCACCACCAACTGGGAAAGGGTACCAGGGGGCAGACATCAGTCCACTCAAAAATGAGAATTTTTTTTTAAGCAATAAAGGAACCCTGGAGGGTGGGAGGCAAGCTAAACTTCAGGTAGTGAAGAGATTGGCAGGGGATACTCTGAGCAGCTGGTCAGAGAGGTGACAGGTGTGAGCAACCCTGTCAGGGGATAAAAGCCTGACAGCCTGGTGGGGCTCTGTAGGATAAGCACTCGACTGCAAGGCCGGTTTGAACTGCAAGGTTGGTGGTTCAAACTCACCAGCCGTTTCTCGGAAACCCACTATGAGTTGGAACAAATCAATGGTGCTTAACAACAACAACTTAAAGGAGACAAACAGTTAACGCCCTTTAGCTGCTGGCTGAAAATGTTGAGGTTTGAGTCCAGCAAGATGCGTCTTGGAAGAAAAGCACGGTGAGCTAGTTCTGGAAAATCAGTCACTGAAAACCCTATGGAGTACAGTTCTGCTCTGACACACTCACCAGAAACTAGAAGCCTAAAAAAACACAGATGATTTTGAAGTCTCACTGAATTCACTCTCAGAGGTAGTCCTCCTTATACGCTGGGGCCTCTACATCCTGGGGCTTTCTGAGTGGCACATGCCCTCCTATTAGACATTTGAGGCGAACAGAATACTCAAGTCTATAAAGTGTGTGTGGGTACATATATCTATCCATGACACTGTCACATATGCTAATCCTATTGCTGTTTGTTGTTGTTCAGTGCCATCAAGTCAGTTGTGACTCACAGTGATCTTGTACGGGGGTTGGGGTTTCCAAGTAGCAGTTGGTGGGTTTGAACCACCAACTTTGTGATTAACAGTCCAGTGCTTTCCCTTTAGCGCCATAACAGCTAATAAGATTAGTTAAACTCAATTATATATTATGACCAAGGGCTTGAAAATAAATTGCTGGGGAGAAGTAAGATAATAAAGGCTTGGAGCGCAGACTCCATTCCTGCATCGGCTAACTAAGAAAATCTTTCCTCGTGGTCATGCATATCTTGTTCTCAGAGAGGGTTGAGATGTAAATGATGATCTGAAATCCTATTACGCAGGATGTTCTAAGAAAATATATCATTGTAAGTAACCTATTTTTAATATATCTTACTTATCACATTAAGTTTGACATGTCTTAATATTCCCAAGAAATGTCTGTACCATACTTTCTCAGGAAACTCATGTCTTAAGATACATTAACCAATACCTAGTACATCTGTTTGCGATCTGATTTCGGAACAAGCCTTATCCTGACATTGTCTTGCCACTGGTCTGAAAACCCAGTGGTCAGCACTTGTATCTTTTAGTCTCATTATGGATTGCCCCATTATCAGAACGCTCAACTTAACTTCCGAATATTGTAAGCCCCACTCTTTGTCTAACCCCTATGTAAATGTCTGTGTAACTATTGTACCTCGGACTCTGTGTTTTCATTTGGATGGGCCATGAAGTCCTTGATTTGAATTGTTCTTTCAACGTTCAGTTAATGTCGTCTTTAACTTAAAACAACATTCACATTTTTTTTGCTACAACATAGATTGTATTTGTTGTTGTTAAGTGCTGTCAAGTTGATCCATAGCGACCCTGTACAGGGTCTCTGAGGAGCAGATGGTGAGCTTAAATAGCCAACCTTGAAGTTCAAATGAGTTTGCAGTCTGGCACATTAACCCACAGTGCCACACAAGGACATAGATTAGATCTGTCAATATGTCTATATAGAGATACTATTCCAACCCCTTTGCCCAGGGAACATAATTGCAGTCTTTCTGCATCATGTGCAGGAGGTGAACCCCCTGTTATTCTGTGCCCTAAATGCCATCTGACCCATAGCAAAGTCATAGTCAAAACTTGACTATAGGGGCAGGTCATAGTCAAAACTTGTTCCTTGTGAGGACACATGGAGCATGTCTTGTGAAGTGCCAGTTTTGTTTTGAAAATTATTTTTAAAAACAGACATACAACACACAAAAAGAGGGTCAGGAATAGGAGGAGAGGTGGAGTGTGTGTACTGTCAAATGCCTCCACAAACACCTGCCCCCTTTGCCATGAGACCGTAAGAAACAGATGGTGCTTTTACCATTACTGAACATTTTGAGGCAAGATTCTCTAGAAGAACCCTGATCAAAATGGGGAAATGCAAAACTGAATTTAAGATTATCATGAAATCCAGATTTTTTGGAGTCCTGGAGACTAAATGAACCTCTGAAACTATTGCTCTGAGATAATCTTTAAACTTTAAACCACTCATATTCCCTGAATTCTTCTTAAAACTACACAGCAGTTTAGCTTAACTAGTGAAGAATGCCCTTGTTGAATGCCTATCTATCCCATATAGATAGATGTTTAAAAATCATGGTGCTTTCTAAAGATCTATCGATCTATAGGAGAGATATAGATATGTATGGTAGCATGGTGACTCTACAGGGTAAGCACTGGACTGTGAACCATAAGGTGGTGGTTCAAGCTCGCTAGTGATTCCTCAGGTGAAAGATAAGGCTTTCTGCTCCTGCAAAGATTTACAGCCTCAGAAACCCTGTACCAGGTTGCTATGAGTGGGTACTGACTCAATGGCACTTAACAAAAACAACACCATATGGGATTACATTGACAACAACAATTTGAAAGATGAGAAACTAAGGAGTCAGGGAGGATATGGTAATGGGGGAGGAACAACTTGGAAAAGGAGGGTTACACTGGCTGCACAACTCAAAGAATGGAACGCGAGTAACTAACTTGTACATGCAGAAATGTTGGAATCAACGTATGAGTATGTTCTGCTGTGTATAGTCTTAATAACAAAAATAAAAAATTTTAAACGATAAAAACAATACTAACATGAATAAGAACCACGGGACTATTTTAGTAAATGATCCTGTTTCCTTTGTATCTAAGGGGAATCTGAGAACTACACCTCAGATGCAGTAGGCAGTTGTTTGTCAGCTGCAACACTTCCTCTTAGTTTCCCAGGAGACGAGGAAAAAAGGGGGGACTCTTTGAAATCATTGGATCTTACCACATTTTTGGGGAAGACAAGTGATGTCTGCAATGCTGCTGCTTGGCAGGGCTTTGGGAGGGAGCAGGGCTGGCCACTGGACTGATGCCTTGCAGGGCCATGCAGTCTCTCAGACATCAACCCCAGGAGAGAGGACATTGGACAGAGACCAGCGGTTCCTCAACACTTCTGCCAGTGGCAGCACGCCCACTGATGCAGGCCCACTCCCTGTGTCCAGCCCCCACCCATGCAGACTGCACACAGTGGCAAACACAGTTACCCAGGAGGTGCAGATTGGTCTCCAGGCGCAGGGCTGACTGGAAGAGAAGCTCCTCGCGGTTGTCCAAGGAGGACTCTGCTTCCATGTGCCTCTGTAACCAGCAGGCATATTCTTCCTTACTCAGGACCTACAAGAAGTGCTGGTTAAGGACAGCCAAGACCTAGACCCAGGCAGCCCAGGAACCATCCAAGCGGCAATCCCGACTCACCCTCTTGGCTATACACAACGTGCGGAGGCCCTCCACTGCATAGAGGTTCAGGTATTTCTGAGTTCTGCTCTGGATTTTCTTTTGATGCCTTCCTCTGGCGTCATCTAGGTTGGGGTACAAACAGAAGCACTGATGAGACAGAATAGTCAGCAGCCTGCCCTCAGGCTACCCGGGAACCTGGGGACTCTGTAAGAAGGTGCTCTCTATAGAAGTTTTTCACTGTGGTTTGGTTCTTCCTTTGGACTGGCAGCTCAGCAGCACTACAATGGGTGGCCTCCCAGGCAGCGCAGTTCCCAGCCTCCAGCCCAGATGCCTATGGAGAATGCCACGTTTTCAAATACATTACTTTTATATTTTACAGCAACATATTTTTATATTTTATATTTTGATTCTACAGCATTTTGTGTTCTTCATATACTGAGTATTTGTGCATATATCCTTGTGTTTGTATGTGAGAGTGCATGGGTATGAGTGCGTGTTTTTGTAAATGCTTAACAGGAAGGCAAAAGGAAGGAAGTGGGGAAGACCTATAAAAAATTAGAAAATATTATATAATTGCTATATTTCAGCATCATAAACAGAAAAGGAGGCTTTTAAAAACAAGTAAGCCCTAAGTGAAATATCAAAATATAAAGTTTCTGAGGAAAAAAACCAGAGGTATAGACCATTCCATTGATCATTTGTTGTTGTTGTTGAGTGTTGTTGAGTTGGTTCTGACTTACAGTGACTCTTAGTCTAGGATTTCCAAGGAGTGGCTGATGAGTTTGAATAGCTGACTTTGTGGTTCAAACCAACCTTGTGGTCCATAGAAACATTTTAATAATAACAATGTATTATAATAATCAGTTAGCTCAGGACTCGCAATATGAGATAGTTACTTTGTTAAGGTCTGACACCAAAAATGATCACAAGTAACTTCTGCCTCAAGAAATACAGGCTGCCATTTCTATGACTCTATGCTAGATCCTAGAGGCCAGGTGGCACTGATGGATAAGCACTACACCACAAGGTCAGTTTGAATAGCGAGTTCATCAGCTCTTCAGAAACCCTATACAGGATCGCTGTGAGTTGGAACTGACTTGAAGAAGTTGGTAAAATTCTTCTATTTCATCCTCACTGGATTTAGTGGTTGGTGCATAAATTTGAATAATAGTGGTATTAACTGGGCTTCCCTGTTGTTGTTGTTAAGTGCCGTCGAGTCAGTTCTGACCCATAGTGACCCTGTACAGGGTTTCCGAGGGTATAAATCTTTACGGGAGTAGAAAGCCTCATCTTTCTCCCGCGGAGCAGCTGGTAGTTTCGAACCGCTGACCTTAAGGTTTGCAGCCCAATTCTTAACCACTAGCTTCCCTGTAGGCGTGTGGATATAATCCTATCACAGACAACGTTGTACTTCATGATTGATCTGGATATGCTTTTTTTGGCAATGAATATAACACCATTCCTCTTCAATTTGTCATTCCCGGCAAAGTAAACCATGTGGTCGTCAGATTCAAAATGGCCAATACCAGTCCATTTCAGCTCACTAATTCCTAAGATATCGATGTTTATGCATTCCATTTCATTTTTGACAACATCCAATTTTCCTAGATTCATACTTCATACATTCCATGTTCCAATTATTAAAGGATGTTTACAGCTGTTTATCTTCATTTTGAGTTGTGCCCCATCAGCAAATGAAGGTCCCACGGGCGTCATCATGGTCAACTTTTCAGGAGGCAGCTCTTTTCCCTCGCATTTTGAATGTCTTCCAACCTGAGGGCTCATTTCCTGGCACTATATCTGACAGTGTTTCTCTGAGATTCATAAGGTTTTCAGTGACTAAGTATTCAGAAGTAGTCTGTCACTCCTTCTTCCTAGTCTGTCTTCATCTGGAATCTCATCTGAAACCTGTCCACCATGGGTGACTCTGCTGGTATTTAAAATACTGGTGGCATAGCTTTCAGAATCACCGCAGTTCATGAGCCACCACATTACGATAAATTGTCAGATGAGTGGTGGTTAAATTGCTTTGAACACCTATAATCAGTCAAAGTTCTGTTACCTAGAACATCCTGACAAAGACCAACCCCTGCAGATGTGGTCAACCAAGAACCTAGCACCTGCAACTTTGTAAATAGTATCCAATCAAATGCATTCCAAATATACTCCTCCTCATTTTAAGTCAAATACATTCCAAATATCTCTATAGTTCCTTGGAGTACTTTGTCAAAAGTTTTTTGACTCTTGCGTTTTCCCATTTTGCAAAATGTTCTTTTGTTGTAATACACTCTTTGTTTTTACTTTAAAGAGACTTGTAGTTTCTCTCACTATACTCTTGAGAACATTTCTCCATAAACAGTTTTGGAGAGAATGTGATTTTGTTTGCTTAAGAGTTTTATTTGCTTATGAAGACACTCAAATCAAATAACAGGCTCAAAATTATTCTCAGAACAGATGTGTACTCAAGATAAACCTTAGAATCACACATGTACTCCCTGTGATCAAGCAAGGGGGGGTCTCATGATCATTTGAAGGCCAGATGTTTGTTGTTGTTAGGTGCCATTGAGTCGGTACTGACTCATAGTGACCCTATGAACAACAGAACAAAACATTGCTTGGTCCTGGGCCAACTTCACAATTGTTGCTATGTTTGAGCCCACTGCTGCTGCCACTATATCTCACTGGGGGGTTTTTCTCTTTTTCTCAGACCTTCCACTTTAACAAACATGATATTCTCCTCCAAGGACTGGTCCCTCCTGACAATATGTCCAATGTATGAGGGACGAAATCTGGCTTCCAAGGAGCATTCTAGCTGTACTTCTTCCAACACAGATCTATTTGTTCTTTTGGCAGCCCATGGCACTTTCAATATTCTCTTCCAACACCATAACTCAAATGTATCAATTCTTCTACGGTCTTCCTTGTTCTCTGTTCAGTGTTCACATGCACATGAGGTTATTGTCTCTGCTCTTCAACTCTTTAAAGAGGTCTTGTGCAGCAGATTTGCCTCATGCAATACATTGTTTGATTTCTTTTCTTTTTTTTTTTTTTTAAGGTTTTTATTGTGGATTGAGTGAAAGTTTATAGGACAGATCATCAGTTTTAGATTCAACAAAGCATACACCTTATTTCATTACAATGATTATAATCCCCGCCAAGTACCATCAGTTACCAGTATTTCTCTCTATTCACTTTAGCCTTTTTTT